TCTAAATATGAAACAGAGGAGACGGTTTCTTTTATTTGTTGTTCAGGTGGGTAAATCAGTGGAAGGGGAACGTTTTCGCTCTCACTCACTCTTCCTTCATACATGATGACTTTCGAGAGCGTTCTCCAAATTAAGAATTACCTACATATACAGCTAAAATCTATAATTATCAGTCTACCGTAATCACGGTGTGGCTTTACATTTACATTCGGCATTTACAAGAGATATGCCATTTTATCATCATTTTACTTGTTTTCTTTACTCACGAGGATGAGCACGGCACCTTTGTTGCTGGTTGTTGGCTTCATCAAAGTGTCCATGTTAAACACACAACAGACCAAAGGTTAATAATATAAGAATATGTTCACTATCACTTAAAGAAAGTTATTCTTAGGAACTTATTCAAACTACAAATATTATGATTATATTTGTCATACACAAGTTCTTGTCATGTCTATATAACACAGGTATGCACATGTGTAGATATAACTTAAAATGATCTGGCAAGATTACTCGCTTGACATGATGCCCCGTGCCGTCTTTTCCATTATTAATAATCCTAAGGCACCAAAGAAAGTATTCGAAATAATTGATTTATTCGATTTGAAGGATCCTTGGAGATAGTCTAATCCATACACAAGGCGTTTCACTTGGCGACAACCTAATCCAATTAAACACTCAGGCAAGATTAGATTACTTTTTGATTTCACAAAACCTCATGTTCTCAGTGAATAATAGTGAAATTCATCGAATACACTTCCTTCCCACTTTGTTTAAAAACTCATTTGTAATATAAGACACACTGATTCAGTACGTTGACTTTACAGGCAAGAATTTATATGTATGAAAAGAGGTACACTTCTTGAATACTATGTACAACCATTTTCATTGACATGACATGTATATATAAATGTTGTACCTGCTGAGATGAATAAATAAGGGGAAAAAATCTTTTCCATCATATATTATCTTGGTGCTATAGTTGAACCATGTTTAAACATGTGATGTTATCTTTCATATCAGGTAACACAAATACTAAAGACCGTGTCCTTTCTTCGGCATTAGCGGATGCGAAACGAAGTTCAAACCTCCAAGGCTCAGCAACATGTGGTGAGTCATACTTTCTTAGTATATCATTATAAATTCCTGCTACTTGTACATATGAATAGCAACAAATGTTTCATTATATATCAAATTCAGTTGTGTGTATGTGCATTGCTTTAAATCATTTACGATTTTATATTCTATAACGTTATACATTGTTTTCAGAACTGAAGACTGGAGTAAAGGATCACAAAATACAGCACTCTGGCGACGAATTTGCTGCTTTCAGCACGCTCCACTGTGCAATAATCTGTTTTCAACAAAACGACTGTGTTGGTGTCAACGTCAGGATGGGCCGCTGTGAAACAATTCAGTCACAAACCCAGTCCATGATTACTATGCCATCACGGGGATGGAAGTATATCATGTTTAGCACTTGCTTGGGTTAGTGCTCTTGTTCAGTCCCCAAAGAAACGAATAGTTTGAATCCATACATGATGGTATACTGTGTTATTTTCGTGCTTGCCATGGTAAAACCATAGCAGCACTTCTAACTGCAGATAAACAGAAATAGTTCAACGTGCTTCTTCTTGACGTATTTGTTCACATGTATTGTTTGTTTTCGTATTTGCATGTTGATAACCCAGTATCATCTTGCATGTATATATTAATTTTACAGTTAGGAGGCAGATATTATGATTTTCATAGTTACGTGTATTATTGAGTTTTGGATGACAAGGAATTGATTTGGAACCAATGCCGTTAAACTTTTCTCTTGCCAATTTTACATGAATTTAACCCCCCTTCGAGGATACAGCCACGAAGTATCTCGAATATAAATTCATTCTACAAATTAAAAGGTAATTTAATTTAATTTATAGAAAACATGTTAACAAATATACATTTCGAATTCTTTTTTTCAAAAATAATTAAATGAGGACTAATATTATCATAAGGATCCCTTATGTATGAAACCTTGAAACACATAATGCAGTCAAGCAGGACATGCATGACTGTAAAACTGTCATCACAAGTGATACAAAACGGAGGATCCCCATCCTTTTAACATATAATCATGAGTATAACTAGTATGGCAAATACGACTTTTTCATTAAATGACCACTTTAAATCTGGACTGACAACCCAAGTTGGTGTTACCGATAGTTGTTTCTATTGCACGAAATTGATTTATACCTACTTGGGTGTCCCACTTCTTTTGCATTAGGTCTCTGGTGTAACATCTAAGGTTGCAGGTTTAATATATGGGATCAGAAGTGGTGTCACTGATTTGTTGAGGTCTGCTTCAGCTGACTCATCAGCCGTTGTGTGACTAATGTAGCAGTAGCAGGTTCTTTATGTAATTGAACAATTACGGCTCAAATGTAACGTTCAATGGAACAAAAAGTTGTGTACCATCATATTTACTGTTTCTAGCAAGTACATGTACATAAAGATGCCGTTGAAGGTCAAAGTGATATTTTGCTTCAATATTCATGTTTGATATTCTGAAATAATTATTACTATTTAATGAAAACGATTCAAAAAGAAAATTAGTGCCAAAAAATGATACCATTTCAATAATATCTTTTGAATAATCACAATATATCTGGGATATGATGTTTCTCGTACTACATGTACTAGTATTTTCACTTGGGTGCATCGTTCATATATGTTTCTAAAACATGTCGCCCAAACGCCTACGTTACCGTTTCCAACGTGCAATTTATGGAAAACGCACAGGCTTCACTTGGCAATACAAACACATATGCTACATGGTTTTGCAATTTTGGACGAACTTAACTATGCCACGGCTTGACTCGGGAACACACAATATCGCCAAATGCCGACTTCAAACATGATAGTCTCAGACATATATATTGCCCGTCGCCTAAATGGCAACCAAAGTACAATTTTACGTCTCGTACGATTTCAACATTCTGGGTCAACCAATGACCTTCCACGTCCCGGCCGACCACGAGTCATTGCACCCGCCTAAGATCGGTGCTGCATTTACGTGATGGGACTGTCACGGGACCTTGCATTTTTTTGTGATTGTGATTGTGATGACATGCAAATGAAAACCCAACGTTTTTTATAGCCCAACCAGTGATGTTGCATGTCATTTTGGTGTGTCTCGACGCCAAGCTCTCAAGTATTTGTGTTGCGATCGTTTCACAAAATTTCTGCAGTACCTCATTCTTTTCACACAAATCAATCCCGATCCATGCAGAAATGACCTATTCATTTTAATATTAATTTTGTAGGGATGTCGACAACACTGTCAGATATTTACAGTTTTACTACTTTTGCGTTTCTTTATTTGCAGAATATATATAGTTACGTCACTATCTAGTTGAGAGTTTTTTTTAATTAAAAATGTAAGCCACTGCCATTTGAAGTTAACTGTGAAATGCTGGACTTCCTCATTGACAACGTGTGTGTGCAGTCTTGAGTATAAGGCATTTTGCCAAGAAGTACATGTAGGCATCCACATGGGCAACAATTATGCTCCCTTTCATGCTGGCTGATCTGTTTCGTTGTGTATAGGAATCGGAATTTCGGCTCGGATTGACAAACATCAAAACGTGGGAATTTGTCCAAAACGTTCAACTTAAGCTTCAGGCATATCGCTGAACCGATATCATTCAATAATAGTCAAATGGCCAATTCCCCTCCACTGATTGACTAGCCTGAGCTAGAAATAAAAGAGACCAGCCAAACTGCATCATTTGTATTGTATTTGATGAAGAGTAAGAGGGACAAAAACTGTACATAAAGCAAGATGACTTCAACTTTCCAAAAGTAACTTCCCGTTGTGTCATCCCATATGGGTACAATAAGAAATGCTGTTCCTGTGAAAACGGGTTACAAATTCATGGCGTTACTATATCTTTTTAAACGCTTTATGATTGACATGGAGAAGGCAAATTTCCAATTTGAAGCATAAGTGACAAACATGATGACTTAATGCTGGTTTATTGATGGGGGCAGCTTTAAAACACGCACACACGCACGTACGCAGTTTAATGGAGCCCACGATTTCATACAGTTGGTGATAAAAACCTAAATCTATGGTTTACATATCAGTATTTGTGTTGGAATAGTTTGGAAACTCGCGAACAAAAGCGTACGAAAATTAATTGTCACGAACAATAACGCGTTTACACCATTACAACCAAGTGACAATGGCCTACAGTTACAATGCCTTGCGTAGTTATGCAACTATATCGCCCGTCTTCATTATGTCGTTCGGATATTAGGCAGTATATCTATTGTCACAATTTACGTAAAATGACAAATGAAATTACATCAACATTGCACGGTACATTTATCAGTGTACGACTGAAAATGGCTACACAGGCCGGCTGTTGTTTACGTTCAATCTTGGAATAATTTCACATCGTCTGCTTTTTAAACCAATTTGCAATTAATAGTACATCCAGATACTCAGTCTACACATGCAAAACTGCATAGCCAGTGATGCACTTGTGCTACTGCAAGTTTTAAGCAACAGTATTTTTGCGTCCGAAAATTAACTTCGCAGCAAGGGTTCCCACATTCATTGGTAGATATAAACTGAATAACTATTTCAGTGGGTTTATATCGAATAAATACACCCCCCCCCCCCCCCCCCCCAAAAAAAAAAGAGAGAAAAAATACATTGATGTAAAAAAAATCCTAAACAAATCTTTTAGACTCGGTCAATAATATTTCTAACATTTGGTGTCGCAATATGAATCCTTATCATGCCATGACCTTAAGTAAATAGTAATCGAACCACGCGTGACATGTTTTTGGATAAGCCATACACAGTGCCAACTGCATTGTTATGATTGATTTATTCAAATAGACCCTCGGTATCAAATCTCAGATATCATACTAAAAGCAACACAAGCAAAACAGTATTTGTAACCCATACAATCTCATACAATTCAACAACAATCCAAAATCAGAAATACACAACACAAAATCTTTATTCAGAATATACGGCCACGTGGCCCATGGTACAACATATATGATGTGTAGATCTAGATTATAAAAATTACCGTAAGCTGAAATTCAAAGTATTTATAAAACGAATATGTATTTTAAGAATAAAGATATTCATTTCAATAACACGAAGTTTTGTTTTGATCGAAGTTTGACATTTGTATCTTAAGGAAAACTGGTAATAATATGATGGGATGATTATTTTGTCTACACTCCCAATAAACTGAGCGTTTTAATAATAACTAAAGCATTTAAGTTACCAGTTTCACAAAGTAACTGATCAGGTGGAATACAGTCTTTCAATGAGGTTGTTTCAGAATCTTAAAAATTGTGAGATTGACAACGAAGTTTAGCTGACAGTCCCATCTGATCTTTCATTACAACTTTAACATACTTCAGGCTCTAATTATGACTTGAAGTGTCAGTAATTTGACAGACACGCTGAATTCTCGTTTCATTTTACTCATCCATTTTGGCGAGACAATAGCGTGGATCGATGCTCATGATATCAATCACTGTATTGTCTGGTCCAGACTCGATAATTTACAGACCGCCGTCATATAGCTGGAATATTGTTGAGTAAGGCGTTAAAACAACAAACAAACAAAAATATTTGGCCAGAGAGGCTTCACACTGATGGTCCATATAATGTCTAGAATACGTGTTTATAGAAACAGCAACGCCATCATGGAAAGAAACGTATTTGTCAATCATATAAACAATAGATTCGTGTTCATGACTATGCATATTAATCTGCTTGTCGACTTACTTAGGCTCGCTGACTTGGTTGATACATGTCATCGATCCCAATTGTGTGGATCGATGCTCATGATATTAATCACTGGATTGTCTGGTCTAGCCTCGATTATTTACAGTCATATAGCTGGAATATTGCTGAGTGCGGTGTTAAACAACAAACCAACCAACCAATCAACATATCAATCACAGTAGTAATCTAAAGTCTTGATTCAAAGGTGAGTTCAAAATCCTGTGGTACGTTAAAGAAAGATCCTCCACGTGGCTCAAGGTTCACCTTAGCTCCAGGTGGGAGGGACACTTTGAAATGCCTCATGATTCCGGCCAGCAGAAGATGCAGTTCCGGCTTGGCCACGCTCTCTCCGAGACACACTCTTCTTCCAGCAGAGAACGGAAGCCAGCTCTCTGGTTTGGCAGCCATCTTGCCATCATGGTCAAGGAACCGATCTGGATTGTATACTTGCGGGTCCCGCCACTGCTCTGGATCCTGGTGCAAAGCGTAGTGGTTGATGAACACGGTAGTTCCTTTAGGAATGTCATACCCACCTGAAAATTTAATGATTGAAATACGTTCATATGCATTGATGACACACAATCACTTAAGTCATTTATAACTTGTGCTGTCCTAAATTTCCACTATGATCCCATTCCTAATTTAAGAAAACGCAATAGTATTAATTATATTTTAAACCCCCTCTCAACCAAAGAATAGCAAACGATTGCCCTCTGATCTTGTTGCCTGCTTGCAGGATCTCTTTAGGATGCCTGAACGTATGATTTTGTTTTCACTGCGCAACTCGAACTGTCGTGTATCGTTAGTCCTTTACGACATATTTTAAGTCAGTCTGTTGCGAAAGAGGCGATTAAGCCGTGATACATGGACTATAAATCCAATTTTAATTTACCAGTAAACATAGCAAACAAAAGAGAAGTATTTCAAACTTTACAACAGGCTTACGGTGATAGGAAACTGGAATTTGCGTTGTAAACTCCTGTTCACTTGCCCTGGAATGTCGCTGTAGTGGGAAATGTGGATTTGGCGCTCAAGCTAATAAGTGCGCCAAGTGCGAAATAATGAATAATTATAATGGTTCCATAGAAAGGTTTGAAGCTTAGATTTTTAAAACATCTACTCAGAATATCGACCAGTGGACATCCTTGAAAATGAGGCTTACCGACTTTCGTATCACACAGTGTTTTGTGGGGAAGTCCGCTTGGGACCACAGTGTGTAACCTCATGCTCTCGTGAAGCACAGCGTCAGTGTAAGGGAGACTACTTCTGTCTGATACACTGGGGTAATGACTGGAACCTGGACATTCATACATATATGTTACTCACGAGAATAAACTAAAGATAGTCTCTTGTCCGATATCTTACTAATTTAAAATAAACCATCCGTGGTGCCGTTGCTCGAGCTTTCATCAACATCACTATTTCATCATACAGCCGTATCATCATCACTGTCTCATCATCAACGAAACTCACATCATCACATCACCATATTATTCTATTATACAATCATACTATTATGTCATTGTATCATCATATCATAATATTAAACAATTGTATTTATAATAATATTTTATCATCACATCATCGTAGCATCATCCAGCGTATCATCCCCGTGTTGTTAAAGTTAAACACACATCAATAATTTAAACTTCATTTATCCCAAACTGTTTCAATATGTTTTCAAAGTGCACTGAAACTCTATTGCCTTTGTGTGTTTTAAATATTCAGCGAATAGTTAGCGAAACCAAATGATAAGCCCCTTGGCTGGACCTTTTAACCCCAATGGTAACTATAAAAGTTATAGAAACACATAATTATTCATCAGATCGTACGTGTTCACAGGTAAGTGTGTCACTGACCTCGAACCACACTACGTAATGCATCAACAAAACTTGGCCGACGTCGTCAGAAAGGGAGACCGTGTCAGATGCCATCGCGCCACCACAACTACGTCGACTATGACTTTTCAATGTCTAACGACTTCAGAGTGTAAGCAACAGGGCGTGAATTTCTTCATGTACTCCATCGACCCTTAGCCTAACGTTACCTTAACAATAAACAAAGTTGCTTTCGTCTTGTACTTCACACCCGAATCTTGCGTAACAAGCGTATCGTGACATCGTACAATAATATCAGCGTATGAACATATAACTTGTCGTCACCATACCGTATAATATCAGGGTATGAACTTACCCAGGGCACGGTCGACCTCCGTGTGAAGTTTGTCCTGGATGTCAGGGTGCTGAGCCAGTTCCAGTAGTGTCCACAGCAGCGTAAAGCGAGAGGTGTCCATCCCGGCTGCAGGGATACAGTATAATCACTTCCAGTATATCATTAAAGGAAATGAACAAGGACGTACAAATCTTAAACTCATCCTCTCTCTGCCAAACATTAAACAATTGAAACAATCTAAACCTGGTTCAGACGATGCAGATCATAGCATGTAAGGGTCATTTCCTCCGGAAGTTGGATGCCAAAAAGAGTTTCCCATTCGACACTAAACAGTCATGTTGAACTGCAACTATAAGCCAACATGTGCAGGAAAAGAGTCACACAAGAACGAATTAACAGGAACAACATCGAGAAAAGTAGGTTCAAATATATACCAGCAAATATATCAGAGAGGGTTTGAGTGATATGGCTGTCAGTCAACTGTGACATCACTTCCGGGTCCTCTTCGTCACGAGCTTCTTCTTGAGCCAGTAACAGGGCATCACAGAAATCACGGATGTTATCTGTTATGAAAACATAATGAACAGAACGATTGACATAGGCATACATTAATACAGTTCTGATAATTATGTACATATTCATGTGACTTTCTTTAATAGGGAACATAGTATATGGTATAACACGAAATCTACAATCATGGTTCAAATTCAATCTATGAGTCCAATTTAACAAAACCATTATTATTATTATTATTATTATTATTATTAAAATACAGCAAAGAGTGTTTGGGTGATCCTGGTACAGTAATCATCAGCTCAGGGCCCTTGCCCCCTCTACACACAGCCCAGACAGCAAATCCTGCCTCGTCGAACACGCGGGGTATGTGAACTTTCAAGAGTATGTGAAAACTCCCCAACACTGCAGCCTTCTTCATTACTGAGAGAAGAGCTGAAATCCTGGTAGCAAACCCGGGTACTCTCCCAATGTCAGTCAACGGATTGGGAGGTACCAAGCCTCAGACATCAAGAACAATGGGGAGTCAGACAATTTGGTACTTGGGATATCTCGAAAGCGAGGTCTGCATATTTGTCATGTTTTTCCTGAATCTTATCAATCACATTCGTGTCAAAGGGGATAGAAAATTCAATAATGTAAATGATTTCATTGGATTTATCAAAAAGGACAAGATCAGCTTTGTTGGCCTGGAGAGGTCTTAGGTTGTTTGAGGTCTTAGGTTGTTTACGGGCCAAAGCATTTTGTATTTATCATTTTCAATGACGCCCTCTACATGGATGGGTCGTACCATGGATGGAGTTCTATGTCAAATCCACAAGCATGGCGAAGACGGTACAAAAATGATCGAGCGACTCTATCATCCGCTTACGATACTGCGTTTGTGCAAATGCTGGGCATCCACTGACAATGTATTGGACAGTCTGATTTATTAATTCATTGCATAATCGAAATTTAATATTTACATTTTGATACAAAATCACACATTGACTGTGTCGAGATGGTAGTGATTGGTCCAGAGCAGCAAACAGAAAGCCTTCTGTTTCACTTTTCACGCCAGTCGACTTTATCCAAACGAAGGACTCTGCAGCGTTGCTGATCTTCTCAACACACTGCACATAACACGCAGTTGTCGTTAGGATAGCCTATTTTTGAAAAACAGTCTGGGCCGATTTGATATGGCACTTCGCTTGGTTGACACTCATTTCTGTACCGTCCAGCAGTACAGAACCATAAACAGAATCAACACTGACATAACGATTATGTCCCGCATTATTATTATTATCTTGTAATCAAAGAGAACATAAGGAAATGACATTTCCAGAATATTTGATATAAAGTTGTTGAGAACTTGTGTTAGAATGAACGTCAAACGAACCTTTGGATATCGTCTGTCGATGTTTGTCAATTTCTTTATTCAAGTTTCCGAAGAAGTCAGCAACTAGTTTAATTACAGTTTTCAGCTTCTTGGTATGGCAGAGACGGAGGGGAGGAATAACATCTTCAAGAAAGCCGTTGCCAAAGTCATCCAGAAAGTAATCCAGAAAATGCAACATCTCTTTGAAGTAGTTGTCATGAACGTCGCATCTGAAAGAGTGGTTCAGAGTGTTACTGACAGTATCATGGCGTACCAGTGTAACATAGGAAGATAAGCCCAAAGTGAATAAAATCCACAAGAACGGGTTTGGCGCTGCCTGACAGCCATTTGAATTTTAGCTTACGAAGTGATATATCTCGGCTTGGACCAGGAATGGGCTTCACAAAGTGAACTCTGATGTAATTGAACGTATGAGAATATGTCATGGCTACTTCATCATGATGCTACAGCTAAAGCAGCCCTCCTTGCTTTTGTTTGAAAATGTAAAACCGCGAGCGATGGAAAAGCAGGATCGATCTTGAGGATTTACATTTTCCACTAAAACCGAGGACAACATTTGGATACCTTGATACAATACAGCAGTCGCGGTATAAAACGAATTCGATTACAGCGCACGAGAGATGTCATCATGTTAGATTGAACACCCTTCTACGCCTTCCCGGGTGACGCAATGGGAAAACAATTGGTTATATATATATATATATATATGTATGTATGTATATCTGGAGATATTACATTTTACATAATGTTCAACACCAAATACAACTTTAAACTTACAATATAACCTCAATTTAATCACCACAGAACAAGTACAACTGTGAGGCTGTGACACTTCTTGTCTCCACCGCGAGTGAAAATGATCTAACGTTACACGTTTCACCTAAGAAACAACAAACTTCACATGATAGTTAAACACTAAACCATCAAATGGGACAAACCGATAATTTCTTGTGTATTTCCAATTTCGCTCTTTACCTAGAGCATGATTCTTACTCCAACACAGAATTTTCGAGGTTAATCGATCTTGCCGAAAATGACACAAACGCCTGTAAAATCACATCACTACACCATTGTGTTAAAATTGATGGCTTCCAACCCAGATCCCCTATAACATAATACTCTTGTTCCGTATTGCATTAATAAAGGAAAAAGATCAATGATGTACAAATAAAAAGTAGCGGTGGCAACAAACAGCCTTGTTATAGACCACTTCGGACATCAAACCAGGGTGTAGGCAGCCCGTACCCTATACAACATTGGACAATAGTTTGAAAGGAGATTGGGGCTCGATACAGTTTCGCTTTTTTATCAGTATAAAACACTTTTTGCCATGACAAATTACTATCAATACTAACATAAGCTTTTCGAAAGTCAATAAAGACTGTGTAGGTGGATTTACATAGAGATTTGCGAGTCAATTCTTGATGTAAGCTGGATATTTGTTTAATTGTTGATCGCCTATTTCGGAAACCATTCTGTGCATCGTGATCTTTATCGAAAATCTTACGTTCAGATATATAAATACTCTTAAAGTAATTCTTACCAGCTCCTTACATCCATACCAACGTTTCAAAGCTAGTTTTCACTTTTCCCATTAATTGTGCTTGAATTTCATCGAATCTTTGATCAAAATGAGACTTAAGTTTGTTGACTGCATAGGGAATACAAATATTGATATTCTTCACCGATGACCCCACAATCACCACTATTACGCCCTTTCCACGTCATGACGTACCACTGGCGCAATGAACGATTAACTCAGCACTGGGGTTTGATTTACGAGCGTAATGTTACAATGTACATAATCACTATTGATAATACTAATGCATGTGCAATGTATGTCAAACGTCTGCAACTCAAGAGAAGTTGAAATGACAGACACACAGTCAATACCATTTCATCACGTTTGAAATATATATGTAAATGCTGTTTTCATTTTCATCACTTTCAAACAGTTGAGGCATCATTTTTCTTATTCCCATTATTTTCAAAACTGTATAAAACTGATCACAATTCATTTCTCCCGTCATGTTTAAGCACCGACAAAATGCATGGAAATAGTTCATTTTATGAGCATACATTCCTTATACTTGGCATATAAAGACATAGTTGCACATGTCAATATCATTTACCACAGGTGATGCCTATTGACACAAAATAAAACTATTCCAGACCTTATTCCAAACATGAGGGGCCACATGGAAATGCCCAGTTTCATGCAGCGGAGGTTACTATGATATAGGAAGATACCTGCAATACTATAGGCAAACGTGACAGCAGCTTTATAAGAAGGGTAAGTGAACAAGTGAGTTAGATTTGAGCCCGCCTTGAACAGTACTTCATTTATGAAACAGACTGTCAGGTTCGTGTTTGAGGAAAGCCTGAAGCGATGCAGATGTTTGACGTTTGCAATTTTGATGAAAACCAACGAGCGTTTCCCGCACGTCTAAGACATTTGTTTTACGTTTGAGCGTCCACAACTCTCCATGCTGGAGAAAAGTAATACCTTACAATAACACATTACAGTATTACATCATACATTCCCCGCTATCATATCTACACATACTTCATTTCCCCTGATTTTATCCTTGTGAAAAGGACAGAAGAAACTTGAACTGGGTACACGTATTCAGAACAAGCTATTTTAACTCAATAACGTTTCCGTATATCCTTGCATAAGCCAAACCTTACTGAAAAATCTTTCTTGTGGATGCTATATAATGCCATCATTACCATAAGTCTCAATGTTAGATGTTGGATAATGCTCCACTCACGTGACACTGAAGCAGATATTGTTGATGATGTTGAACACAATGAGGGAGACAACGTGATGAGGATTGAATGGCCCCTTCATCTCCTGTATCAGCTTTATGCCTTTAGTGAGGGAGCGCTCTATCCCCTGGTCTAGGCGGGTACCCGTCATGTAGTGTCTGTGCAGTGAGAGAGAACATACAGATATGATCAGAGCGAGTGATATATAATGGCCGGGATGTAGTTTAATGACAAGCAAGGTTATTAGGAGTTCTCCTTTGGTTGGGAGGATGTGTCACACGTTAAGGCACTTAACTGGCTGCCATGTTTTCATGTGCTTACCGTTCACTGAAACCTTAAGCATTACTTTCACTTACATAGCAACAGAAACATTCCCCAACTGTCTGACACTGTTTGCATTTCCTGTCACGTTCGGCAACTAGGGTTACCTCCCTTAGACCATTAAAGCCTGACGCTGACACTCCCTACCCCTGAAGACCCATCAGTGTTTCATTCATATTAGTGTACTTTCGGTGAAAGTTTTAACTTTGACCTATAAACAAGATTGTTCGTATATGTACAGAACATGATTGCAACACTATTTACAACTGCTCAATTTCTGTCTGATCCAGAATTAGGAAATTCAATGTTAAGTTCATAATCTTGCTGCCAAGCTGGATTCTGTCGGCGTTTCTGAGAAGAATATCGTATGCGCTGCTGTCCCACATAAGCAACTGCAGCTCTGCGAAAGTCATCAATGTCAATGGGCAACACAATCTGTTCTTTTCTTGACTCTCGCCGCGAGAAGAAAATCTACTCCAGGGTCTCCTGTATATATAGACTGTATCTGCAGGTGCAGAGGTCTATCAACAAGTCTCTTAGTCTCAAGTTTCTTAATGCCAAGGAATACTTACTTACACAAGTTTCCGATGCATATCTTATCAATAATGGTGTCTCACTTCTCTCTGCATTCTATTCGTTGACCGTAAATGAAATTTGTGCACAGTGTTCCTTCCCAAACCCCTTTCTCAATGATTGACTTGCATTTTTCTGTTTTCCGATATCTCTTGCTCTAATTGCTTCAAATGACTTTTCATTCCACTATTATCATCACTGTTCCAAGAAACGCCAAATACTCGCAAAGGTTTGTTTCTTGTTTTAACCACATCCACCAGTGAAAAATCGTAACACAGCTAGTTTAATAGTTATATCACGACAGTCGTGTTTTTGTCTCAAAACCAAACCAGATATCCTAGCGACGTGAAAACATTTGATCACTTACAATTACGTACCAAGTACTTAACAACATTTAAATTCCCAACATCACTGACAGTGTTTACATTCGTTTCCACTTCCAGTAACAAGACGTATCGCCCCTAGATTCTAAGCGCCTGACACAAACAACACAACATGGAGAATTTTGAAAAGGAGCTTGATCCCTTAACATGAAAACTCAAATTGGTTGCGTTTAATTTTGTCTTCAAATCAGAGTGTATGCCAATGTTCTGTCAAGTATGGAATATTATGTGTTCATAAAGGACCGTCTTAAAATACGAACTGTATGTGCGGAATCTTGCGTTTACAGTGAAATCACAGTATCACCACTCCATTGCTGCCTCAGCCATAACGTTAGTAGCTGAATACACGAAGTGGACCCGAATGCTGTGATATATATTGACTATTAATTTAAGCTGGAGTCATTTTGGCCGACACAGTCGATATTAGTATTGGCGGGGGTATCTCTCATTTACTGGAACACAATGACTAAAACTAATCATATTCAATAATTCACTAATTCACTAGAAAAATATTTAAACTACAGTACTTGTTGATGATACTTATTCTATACTGGATATTATTGAGGACATTCTTGTTATATTTTATTAAATATCACCTTGCCTTGTGAAGTCATTTATGGAAACACACCTCAATATCAGCAGCAATATTTCAGCAAATCTGCGAATTGATACATGATGTGACTATCTGTTTTATATCGAGGAGCTCACTTCAAGGCTTTGGTAGCCAGCTTTCTGTGTAGTTTCCAAGTAGGGCTGTAGTCTCCGAGGGCGATATTCTTACCTCCGTCGTTGAGGAGGTCCGCTAGACAGAGACATGACATATATCTAAGTGTGTAAACAAATTGAATATTTTCTTGAATAATGAATTTACATTCATGTGTGTTTACTCCAATTGAAAAAGGCACACATACTACCATTTTTGATTTGGTCATTCAACTGAAGGGATTTGGCTGTTCCGACGTCGCTACTTACTGTGGCGGAAGGATAGTAGATCACCTATGTTTCATAATACACGACAAAATTGCCAATTTTGGATAAAGGATAAGAGCAGCGGAGTCTCTACCCGTGACGATCAGGGGTAGAATTGGTCTTCAGCACCCCATGCTAGCCATAAAAGGCGACTATGTTTGTCGAAAAAGGCGACTAACGGGACCGAGTGGTCAGGTTTGCTGGCTTGCTTGATGCATGTCATATCCCAAGTGCGTAGAGCGATGATCATGATGTCAATCACTAGATTGTCTGGTTCAGACACCAAGCAAACAAACACAAAATTTTAAATGACCCTTCTTGCATAAAATGTTCCTGTTCAGTCAACACCATTGATTGTACAGATTGTGTGGACTGTATGGGATCAAGCTTCAACACAGATCACTACCAGACGTGAAGATCTTTAAAACAATTTAAAGCCTATAGTGTGTGATATCGTTGAGCATGGAATCGTGGTGCAACTTTGCATGAACCCTATCATAATTACATGTGTAAGACTTGGGGCGCCCTGCAAAGTCCGCCTGTCGCTTGACCATCGCCTCCAACACAACGTCTATATTGTTGAGGGCCACCATTGTCATAGGTCCTGTAAAGAAAAAAACGTTTTTATTATCATGTCAGATACTACACTGATAAAATCAAATAACGCCTTTTCGTTAAGTTGCACATGTCATAAAACCATGTTTGCACTCGATACATTACTCCCGCCGCGTGTATATATTTTGTACAAGTCAAAACATCATATGCAATAACATTAGTGTAAAAACATTTGATATACGTGTAATTCAATGTGAGAAATATATCCGTCAATATCCGTTATTCCTAATCAGTGTTTGTTTGGCATCTTCTGAGCCTTATGGGGAGAACTGAATAGGACAAACCTCTTCGATGATGTTATGACACGAATATATTTCGATATTGCCATTGCCTTGCATTCTTCACAACAAATAGTCTTCTTTTGATTCTGAGTTTCATAAACCACAAATATCCAATGTAACATATCTCCATTCTATACATGATAAACACCCTTTATCAACTCGTTACCATAGATTCACCAAGTGATTTCACCATCCTCATCTCTGTCATCACTTTCGCTTGCTCAGAGGTGTCATTTGACAGGACTGGACATTCGAATCGGGCTCAACACAAAGCTATGGCCACAGGGTCCAGGGTATATGTTATAAGGAAATGGAGATATACAACAATGGAAAATAAAAGGTGGATTAAAGCTTATATTTCAGTTTTCACACGTTCAAAAGTATCCGTGACATGGAACTGTTTACATACCCATATTAAACTTCACAACGGGACCATACTGAGCTGTCCACTCCGTCATCTTCTCGTAGATAGTTGCATTCCGGAACTCTGTAGTTGTAATAACTTCGTTTAAGACCATGTTTCCTGTGGGACAACTACTGTCCCTGATCATGTTATTAATGTCCATTCATGAATTCCATAGCAACTGAAACTGATGTATGTCGTGAGTGGCAGCATAAGAAGACATTGTGCAGTGAGCATGTCCCTCTGTGATGTGGATTTTGCGCAATACAAAAAGCCTCAGGTTAAAATACAAAATGCATTAAAGAGGGTTTGGGTGGTCATGCAAGCGTTACATTTCGAAAGCTTATTATTACTGGTAGTAGTAGTAGTAGTAGTAGTAGTAGTAGTAGTAGTAGTATGTTGCTACTTCAAACTTATATATATATATGTTTTACTGACTCGAAAACAATGTGGGTGTTACTACTGATGCCGAAATGCATTCCCCCAGTCATTAATATTTTGTGCAGACACATGTACAGAGCAGAGTCCATTGTACGATACCAACTGCTTCGTCCAACACATGCAAAGGCAAGTCAAGGTTAGCATGATAATATTTTCTAAGGTAGTAATATTGACAATAGCTTGGGATAAAAAAAGAAAGGTATGAAAGTAGGCGAGTTATATTCTATTTATAACTAAAGCTGGCTTGATAAAATATGTATATTTATGATTTTTTTATTTCAAACAAAACAACAACAAAACTTCTACATAGAGCCGTGATATTACCAGTGACATACATTCTTCCCGACATAGTTATTGTATTACCAGTGACATTCATTGTTCCTCATATAGTTAAAGGGTTACCAATGACATTCATTGTTCCCCATATAGCTAGTGTTACCAATGACAATCATTGTTCCCCATACAGTTAGAATGTTACCAGTGAAATTCATTGTTCCCCATACAGGTAGGGAGTAACCAGTGACATTCATTGTTCCCCATACAGTTTGAGTGTTACCAGTGACAATCATCGTTCCCCATATAGTTAGTGTTACCAGTGACATTCATTGTTCCCCATATAGTTAGAGTGTCACCAATGACAATCATTGTTCCCCATACAGTTGGAGTGTTACCAGTGACATTCATTGTTCCCCATATAGTTAGAGTGTTACCAATGACATTCATTGTTCCCCATATAGTTACAGTGTTACCAGTGACATTCATTGTTCCCCATATAGTTAAAGGGTTACCAGTGTTCATTGTTCCCCATACAGTTAGAGTGTTACCAGTGATATTCATCGTTCCCCATACAGTTAGAGTGTTACCAGTGACATTCATTGTTACCCATATAGTTACAGTGTTACCAGTGACATTCATTGTTACCCATATAGTTACAGTGTTACCAGTGTTCATTGTTCCCCATACAGTTAGAGTGTTAGCAGTGACAATCATTGTTCCCATACAGTTAGAGTGTTACCAGTGACAATCATTGTTCCCATACAGTTAGAGGGTTACCAGTGACAATCATTGTTCCCATACAGTTAGAGTGTTAGCAGTGACAATCATTGTTCCCATACAGTTAGAGTGTTACCAGTGACAATCATTGTTCCCATACAGTTAGAGTGTTACCAGTGACAATCATTGTTCCCATACAGTTAGAGTGTTACCAGTGACAATCATTGTTCCCATACAGTTAGAGTGTTGCCAGTGACATTCATTGTTCCCATACAGTTAGAGTGTTACCAATGACAATCATTGTTCCCATACAGTTAGAGTGTTGCCAGTGACATTCATTGTTCCCATACAGTTAGAGTGTTACCAATGACAATCATTGTTCCCCATATAGTTAGAGTGTTACCAATGAAAATCATTGTTCCCCATATAGTTAGAGTGAGTGAGTGAGTATGGTTTTACGCCGCTTTTAGCAATATTCCAGCAATATCACGGCGGGGGACACCAGAAATGGGCTTCACACATTGTACCCATGTCGGGAATCGAACCCGGGTCTTCGGCCTGACGAGCGAACGCTTTAACCACTAGGCTACCTGACGGCCCCCCATATAGTTAGAGTATTACCAGTGACATTCAATGTTCCCCATATAGTTAGAATATGACCAGTGACAATCATTGTTCCCCATATAGTTAGAGTATAACCAGTGACATTCATTGTTCCCCATATAGTTAAAGGGTTACCAGTGACATTCATTGTTCCCCATACAGTAAGAGTGTTACCAGTGACATTCAATGTTCCCCATATAGTTAGAGTGTTACCAATGACAATCATTGTTCCCCATATAGTTAGAGTATTACCAGTGACATTCATTGTTCTCCATATAGTTAAAGGGTTACCAGTGTTCATTGTTCCCCATACAGTTAGAGTGTTACCAGTGACATTCATTGTTACCCATATAGTTACAGTGTTACCAGTGACATTCATTGTTACCCATATAGTTACAGTGTTCATTGTTCCCCATACAGTTAGAGTGTTACCAGTGACAATCATTGTTCCCATACAGTTAGAGTGTTAGCAGTGACAATCATTGTTCCCATACAGTTAGAGTGTTACCAGTGACAATCATTGTTCCCATACAGTTAGAGTGTTACCAGTGACAATCATTGTTCCCATACAGTTAGAGTGTTACCAGTGACAATCATTGTTCCCATACAGTTAGAGTGTTGCCAGTGACATTCATTGTTCCCATACAGTTAGAGTGTTACCAATGACAATCATTGTTCCCATACAGTTAGAGTGTTGCCAGTGACATTCATTGTTCCCATACAGTTAGAGTGTTACCAATGACAATCATTGTTCCCCATATAGTTAGAGTGTTACCAATGAAAATCATTGTTCCCCATATAGTTAGAGTGAGTGAGTGAGTATGGTTTTACGCCGCTTTTAGCAATATTCCAGCAATATCACGGCGGGGGACACCAGAAATGGGCTTCACACATTGTACCCATGTCGGGAATCGAACCCGGGTCTTCGGCCTGACGAGCGAACGCTTTAACCACTAGGCTACCTGACGGCCCCCCATATAGTTAGAGTATTACCAGTGACATTCAATGTTCCCCATATAGTTAGAATATGACCAGTGACAATCATTGTTCCCCATATAGTTAAAGGGTTACCAGTGACATTCATTGTTCCCCATACAGTAAGAGTGTTACCAGTGACATTCATTGTTCCCCATATAGTTAAAGGGTTACCAGTGACATTCATTGTTCCCCATACAGTAAGAGTGTTACCAGTGACATTCATTGTTCCCCATATAGTTAGAGTGTTACCAGTGACATTCATTGTTCCCCATACAGTAAGAGTGTTACCAGTGACATTCATTGTTCCCCATATAGTTAAATGGTTACCAGTGACATTCATTGTTCCCCATACAGTAAGAGTGTTACCAGTGACATCCATTGTTCCCCATATAGTTAGAATGTTACTAGTGACATTCATTGTTCCCCATATAGTTAGAGTGTTACCAGTGTTCATTGTTCCCCATATAGTTAGAGTGTTACCAGTGACATTCATTGTTCCCCATACAGTAAGAGTGTTACCAATGACATTCATTGTTCCCTAAATAGTTAGTGTTACCAGTGACATTTATTGTTCCCCATATAGTTAAAGGGTTACCGGTGCTCATTGTTCCCCATACAGTTAGAGTGTTACCAGTGATATTCGTCGTTCCCCATATAGTTAGAGTGTTTCCAGTGACATTCATTGTTCCCCATACAGTTAGAGTGATACCAGTGACATTGATTGTTCCCATAGAGTTAGAGTGTTACCAGTGACATCCATTGTTCCCCATATAGTTAGAATGTTACCAGTGACATCCATTGTTCCCCATATAGTTAGAATGTTACCAGTGACATTCATTGTTCCCCATATAGTTATAGTGTTACCAGTGACATTCATTGTTCCCCATATAGTGACAGTGTTACCAGTGCCATTCATTGTTCCCCATATAGTTATAGTGTTACCAGTGACATTCATTGTTCCCCATATAGTTACAGTGTTACCAGTGACAATCATTGTTCCCCATATAGTTACAGTGTTACCAGTGTTCATTGTTCCCCATACAGTTAGTGTTACCAGTGACATTCATTGTTCCCCATATAGTTAGAATGTTACTAGTGACATTCATTGTTCCCCATATAGTTAGAGTGTTACCAGTGACATTCATTGTTCCCCATATAGTTAGAGTGTTACCAATGACATTCATTGTTCCCCATACAGTTAGAGTGTCACCAATGACATTCATTGTTCCCCATATAGTTAGAGTGTTACCAATGACATTCATTGTTCCCCATATAGTTACAGTGTTACCAGTGACATTTATTGTTCCCCATATAGTTAAAGGGTTACCAGTAATCATTGTTCCCCATACAGTTAGAGTGTTACCAGTGACATTCATTGTTCCCCATACAGTAAGAGTGTTACCAATGACATTCATTGTTCCCTAAATAGTTAGTGTTACCAGTAACATTTATTGTTCCCCATATAGTTAAAGGGTTACCGGTGCTCATTGTTCCCCATACAGTTAGAGTGTTACCAGTGATATTCATCGTTCCCCATATAGTTAGAGTGTTTCCAGTGACATTCATTGTTACCCATATAGTTAGAGTGTTACCAGTGTTCATTGTTACCCATATAGTTAGAGTGTTACCAGTGACATTCATTGTTCCCCATATAGTTAGAATGTTAGCAGTGACATTCATTGTTCCCCATACAGTTAGAATGTTAGCAGTGACATTCATTGTTCCCCATACAGTTAGAGTGTTACCAGTGACATTCATTGTTCCCCATACAGTTAGAATATGACAAGTGACATTAGATGTATAATGTATATTACTACATATGGTGTGAGCACAGCTTGTCATAACAATACCTAAGAGGTTCCCAAGCAACGGCCATCCACGGGGTCCAGGGGGTAGCTTGTACCTCTTCTTGGTGATCAGATAAACGGCTACTCCGACGCCTAGTCCCAGTAGGACAGCCCGGGCAGTGGGACTGGTAGGCAACCGTTGCTCCCACCCCTTGATCCAGTCCAGTAGCTGCTCCATGTAAGGCAGCCTCTGTAGCAACTCCATATCCAGCATCATGAACCTGCAGTACACACTCCAACATCAAGATATTTAAGAAGCGAGGTTATTCCTTTTTTGGCGTTTATCGAGGTTATGTGTACACAGCAGTGTATATAGCTTCATAAACGCAAAAAAATATTGAAATCAATTCGTATAAGTAAATACGTCAACCTGCTTACTTCACCTTTACCATACACAAATCTGAAGACACCTACACGAATCAGTGACTTCGTTCAGCGCCGTTATGCAACTCATGTCCCATTCTATTATCAGCCAATAAAGAAACGGCAGTCCGTTGGTGGCCTATCGGTTAATGGAAACATACATGTAAACGCAACAAATGTTGCTTTGTTAGCCCAACAAATGCCACGGAATACTTGCAATTATGTTTTACAACATATACGAATGTAAAAAAAACGCTACTATATATTTCCATATAAAACAGACTTGCAATATTGTGTCCCGTACAAAATATTCCTGAAGAAAAACATTTGTTTTTAGGCTAATGCGCCACGATTCGCTGTGCAGTGTTGCGTCCCTTGGGCACGCGAGAAACCTATGCTTGTGGGTTCGAATCACTTATTATCCGCTGGCCCGGCCCGGTCCGACTTTTAGGCAATTCCGCTGTACAACACGTTGTGCAATACCAACGCGCGTGCTAATGGACTGCGGGAACAAGTTACACTAATACATATTGAAAAATCCCCAACATCACTGCGCTTTTTCGACGACATGTGAGATGCTAGATCACTGAGAGTAGCTTTATTTCTTTAAGAAATTACAAATGACAAGTATAATAAATAAAATACTAAACTACCTCCCGTGTAATACCATGGACACTTAATACGTATTAGATTTCGCTCGTCAGATACCAGAACTATTCACTCGTTTCATAAAATTGAATCATAAAAACTCAGTTCTGCTTGGTTATTTCTGAAGCACATTGTCAAGCAAAGATAGACGCATATATACAGACCCTGGCCCCGCAATACGTCTCGTTTCTAGATAGCACTGTATTGGAATAAACTGTGCACTAACAGAAGCGTCATTAAGGTTGACATTACCTGTGTTCAAGCAGATGCACTTGTGCAGGCGCCGACTACAGGCGGACTGTTAAATACAGCCACTGAGGGTCTACATGGGGGATCTTAGAGGGTGTAAATAGGGGTGCCATTTCTACGTGAAAGGGGTTTTAACATCGTACAATTCAAGATTATTGTACTTATATAGCGACATGCATGCACGTGTATGTGGGTGTGTGGCTGCTTGTACTTGTTCTGACTCATGCTGATTTCATAATGCTAGTTAGCCCACTGAGATACCATACATAATTATAACCGACCTCGAGCCGAACAACCCTTGTTTTGAATTCTGAATGCGGTATTGCCTTCATGATCAGTCGGGCCGGGCCAAAGTTATTGTTGGCTCGTTACTCCATTATCGACGACCATACCTACATGTATTTAATAAACATACACACAAGACATTATTGAACAAATACAAATCACGAAACGTGTAGCATAATTCAGTTATTTCGAGTAAATCGCTTGAAAATGAAAAAGTCGAGCAGTCTTTGAGAGTGGCTAAGCGAGGTTACATGGAAAAGAGGAATCGGTAAACGCAACAGGATATCAAATACTTCCAATTATCGTTATACAAAATTCAATCTGTCCGGCATTGTGTTTACAGCTTTAACACAGTACTATATATGAGAGAATACCACTTTATGATGTCACTGTTCGCCGTATTTTACGCAGACTCGTGAGTATGAATGAAGCTCTTTTTCTCCCACTCTCAACGTAGTCTCTTTGACAAGTGTTCGGTCCGACATGGCCGGGCTTTCAAAATCAACTTAAAAATCACATATGTATCATGCAGTGTCCCGACATCGAGAGCCCATTATTCTATCTACCTATTTAACACATTATAATGTCACCGTACGTCGCATTTAAAGAAATTTGGTCCGTTAAAGTGAAACCCTTGAATGCCGCGTCTGGCAAAAATAGTTCGCCAGCGGTAGGTGAGAACAGTGTGTGGCGAGATGTGGTGCAATGACGGAAAATACCATGCTATGATAAGTTCACCGTCGACAATTCAAATCTGCCTTTGCCAGTATCTGATAGTTGTATAAGACGGGGCTATACCAATTTCTTCACAATAAGATTGGTGAAAGAAGTTATGTATTACAATTTATTATACCACCGACCTTTTAAGTCGGGGGTATATAGTTATACCAAGGTTCCGTCCGTCCGTCCGTCCGTCCGTCCGAAAACTTTGTCCGTTTGATTCATCTCAAACTTAGTACATATAATCTGTGTCATATGGAGGGGTGCAGTCAAAAGAAAAAATGAAAGAAAATTTCAAACCCTAACCCTATCCATTATTTAATTTGAAACTACTGACACACTAGGCGGATCGGGGGTATTAGTGAGCCACGCTCACTTTTGGCCTTGTTTACATTAACCTTTAACCTGCTGAGTTGAATAAGGCGCTGAAAAGAGGGTGGTCGATTTCAAACAGTTGGTGCTTTATTAAACAAGGGAAAATTGAAGTTAAATTGCACATTTATTCCTGATAGAAACCTTCTTTACAATATAAAATATCCTGATGTTTTCAATCATACCAAGTTGAAGAGCTAACCGAACATAATATTTGTACATTTTCTTGAACTTACCTGAAATACATTATTAAAGGTGATATGTGTTTCATGTTAGGAAAAACCCGTCTAAATTGTTAAATTTGTGCAAATTGATTTAAGTAATCATATCTCCGATATACTGTACAGTACATGCATATGTCTACATGCATATGTCGCGTTTCAAAATATTCAAATAAGCTTGGGGTGCGATAACAGAATCGATTATAATGCACCATTGTTAGAATAGTACTAAAAGGAAGGATTGCCTCCCATTTTACAAGATGTAGATCCATTGGGTGGGATATATTTTCACTCAGTGTTACTGTAAATTTTTCTGCACAAACATACATACTTATGCTGGTATGTTTCACATAATCATTTAATGAACAGCTGTATGAAGTGTGAAGTGTGAAACTAAGTCTGTGTCAATATGTTTACTCAGTAAAACATCAGTTCCGTGAAAGTACAGTTTCCTGGTACAGATCGATTGACAGGGTTCCGAATTTTTCCCTTTACTGTTCTGTTTATCGTTATTCTTTTAGATCGTTGAACCTGTCTTAAGATGCTAATATAGATATTCACTCCTTTGTAAGAAACGAATTGCTGATCAGATTCCTTTGAATTATTTATTTGAACTGTTCTCTTTATCTTCTCATATGTAGCTGTTGGTTGTGAATACTTCTAAGCCGTGTTAGGGTTAATTTTCTCTTACATCCGTTCTCACGATGAGTTGCAAGAACCTGTTAAATCGTTCGAGATTTTTGCCGCATAGTTAAAAAAGGCACCTGGTCAACAGTTGTCGGATGTATAAACAAACCTTTATGAAAAATATTGATTCCTTTATGGATGCTTTTGAATGCAGTGAAATTTGTGGCTTTGAAAAATATGTATAAAAATCTGTCGTCGAAGGACGATGAATTATATTACAAGCCATACAAGGATATCACTTAACAGAACAATACATGATAAAAATGGGCTATAGATCGCTAGAAACCGAAGGGTGATCATCATCATCATGCTACCTGCATAGTCCTCTGCGGGATGAACACCATCCTTCAGTCGCTGGCGACTGTAGTTAGTTTAAAAGAGTTGTAGATATACATATTCTAGAATGACATGGACCTACAGGAGACAATAATGGTACATTACTTTAACCCCCCTTCGAGGATTCAGCCATTAAGTATCTCAAATATACATTCATTCTACCAATTTAAAAGGTCATTTAATTTATAGAAAACATTTTAACAAATAAAAAAATTAAAATGAGGACTAATAATATAAAAAAGATCCTTTATGTGTGAAACCTTCAAATAGTTATCCCTTGTGAAGGAAAAAACAGGACATGCTTGACTGTGAAACTCAACACAAGGGTTACAGCAATACGGAGGATCCCAAACTTTCAATATATAGTCATGTGTATAAATAGTATGGCAAATACAACTTCTTCATAAAATGACCTATTCAAATTTGGACTGGCAACCCAAGTAGGTGTATCCGATAGTTGATTTTATTGCATGTAATTGATTTATACCTGTTTGGGTGTCCTACTTCTTTTGCATTACGTCTCGGGTGTGACATCGAATTGCAAGTTTAATATATGGGATCTGAAGTGGTGTCACAGATTTGTTGAGGTCTGAAACATCAGACATTGTGTGACTAATGATTCCTGAATGGCTCTTTAACCAACAAAAGACGATGTCATATTGGCCAGCAGCAGGTTCTTTATGTAATTGAACAATTGCGGCTCATATATAACCTCTAATGGGACAAAAAGTGTACCATCATATTTACTGTTTCCAGTAAGTACATGTACGTAAAGATACCGTTGATGGTCAAAGTGATATTTTGCTTCAATATTCATGTTTGATATTCTGAAATAATTATTACTATTTAATGAAAAAGAATTGAAAAAAGATAATTAGTACCAAAAAATGATACCATTTCAATAATATCTTTTGAATAATCACAATATATCTGGGATATGATGTTTCTCGTACTACATGTACTAGTATTTTCACATTGGGTGCATCGTTCATATATATTTCTAAAACATGTCGCCCAAACGACACCGTTACCGTTTCCAACGTGCAGTTTATGGAAAACGTACAGGCTTCACTTGGCTATTAACACAACAACATATGTATACACATATGCTACATGGTTTTGCAATTTTGGAAGAACTTAACTATGCCACGGCTTGACTCGGCAACACCGACTTCAAGCATGATAGTCTCAGACATCAATTGCACGTCGTCTAAAACTAGAGTACAATTTTACGTCTCGTTGTACGATTTCAACATTCTGGGTCAACCAATGACCTTTCACGTCCCGACAGACAACGAGTCATTGCACCCGCCCAAGATCGGTACATCCGGGTGCTGCATTTACGTGATTGGACTGTCACGGTCGAACACACAGCTGCCAACGTGCCTGGTCTTCGAAGGATATCCGCTTAGGCTGTACGGAATCATCTTAACCATTCTTGACTGAAAGGCAGGAGACCAGTCTTAATAAGCATACGACGTCATGACCGCCTTCAACATGTTCGTCTGCGACATTGGAGATGAATATGGTTTAGTGCTGAATCACGATTTCTCTCACAAAGACGGGATGGCTGATTCGTGTGTACAGACGTGTTAACGAACGTTTTGATCGTAATTGTGTACGTCAAGTGGACAGACTTGGTGGAGGAAGTGTCATGTGGGGGAAAATAATATCCTACACACAACGTCCGACTCCTGTTCACATGCAGGGTATCTGACGGCTTTACGTTGCAGGGGCGAAATTTTATAGCAACACCTTCTTCCTGCCATTGACGTCTACGACAGCGTCAACCTCAGCCTGCAACACTTCACAAACCGGCGCGAACACTGCAGGGGAATGGAGAAGGATTCCCCAGGCCAAAATTCGTTGCCGTGCGGTTATGAAAGCACGTGGTGGTCGTGACAGATATTGAACTTGACGTCACAACTGACCATCTGCACGACATCCGTGTGTTATGAAATCCGGATCATCATATAGACAAACTTTGTTGCTCCAATTATGTTAAATTTCATTCCATATCTTTGTAAATGTCAAAATTGTTAAGTTATTATTTTCAAAGTTCAGAATCATATTTCCTTTGTTTGTTATCAAAGTATTAAAATATAAATCATATTTCGTTTTTGGCAAGTATTAATTCATATTTCATTTCTTCTCCATTCAAATTTATGTTTACTCATCATAATATGCCAAGGGGCATAACTGCTTAGTATCGTGTATTATCTTCCATGTGGCCCTAAAAGCATGCAGCATGCATGAGAGAATGAAAGAAATGAGAAAAGGTTTTAAGGATAAAAGAGTCTGAAAACAATGGTGAGTTTGCCAAATTTTGTCATATATATTATTTTATCATTATCTACATGTGTATAAATGTT